CTAAAATAAATAACAAATGGCTTATAAACTTGTCTTCCATAGACATTCCGATTGACATCCAAAGATTGATACAGCTGGGAAGTAATTTTAGTCTACCTGTTAATAATAATATTGAATTGACAATGGAATACATTAAAAGTATTGAACATAACATTTTGAAATTACCAGTTGAAAAAAGAGCTGATATTAGAGAAAAATGTAGACAGATTTTAAACAATTTAACTAATTTCCAACACCCTAACAAAGAATTTTGTAAAGAGATAAATATGTTAATGCATAAAACTAAGAATTTTATAAAACATAACAAAGACCTTATTCTCACGAGAGCAGATAAAGGAAACATAACAGTCGCTCTGAATAAAAAGGAATACATAGTAAGTTGAAAATGTTTTAAAAGACGTAAAAACCTATAGCGTACTTAAAAAAGATCCGACGAATAAACTTACTAATGATGTTCATGATCTACTTAAGAGATGGAAAGACTTGGGTTTTATTTCGATGACTGGGTATAGATCATTATATATAAGTGATGGAAATATACCTACGGCATATGGACTTCCTAAAATCCACAAAAAAGACCATCCATTTAGAATTATTGTTTCCTCTATTAATAGCCTTACATATTGTTTGGCAAATTTTTTACATAAAATCATGTATGCGAATTTCTCGCCTGCAAAAAGTCACATCTCTAATAGTTTCGAACTAATTAAAAAAATTTTAAATATACAAATGGACGATAATCATACTATAATATTATTAGATGTAATTTCGCTGTTCACCAATATCCCAACAGAATTATTAATAGATAGTATATCTAAGAGAATTTCTGTAATCACATAAAACTGTAAAATTCCTGCATCAGAATTTTTAATAGGTGTCAATTTAGTTTTAAATTCTACATTTTTTACTTTTAATGACAAAATATACAAACAAATATTCGGAACACCAATGGGTTCCCCCCTGTCACCTCTAATAGCTGATATTGTAATACAAGATTTAGAAGAAAAAGCGTTAAATAGTTTAAACTTTAGACCAAATTTTTACTATAGATATGTAGATGATATAATAATGACTATTCCAATTAAAGACATAAACTCAACATTAAATAGTTTTAATTCGATACATCAAAGACTACAATTCACAGCTGAAGGTGGTGATAAAAATAAAATTAATTTTTTAGAAGTGACTTTAATTCGTGAGAATAACAATTTAATTACAGACTGGTATCATAAACCTACATTTTCAGGGAGATACTTGAATTATTTATCACAACATCCTAGATGCCAAAAAAGAGAAACGATTATAGGATTAATAGATAGATTATTTATGTTGTCCCATCCTAAATTTCACAAGAAAAATATTAACATAGCTATAAATATTTTAATTGAAAATAATTATCCAATAGAGTTCATATTCAACACTATAAATGACAGGCTGAAATACTTAATAAATAACAATGAAATCAACAAAGATGAAACCAAAAATTACAATAAAAATAACATTGAAGAAAGTAATTCATACTTTTCAATCCCTTACATTCCCAAAATTACTGAACAATTTAAAAACATAGTATATACACAGTATATACTAACAAATAAAGTAATTATGTGTTGACATTACATCTCTAATTTAATATGCTCGTTATAGTTGACCCTGTCTTTCTAAATCTTAATTTAAAAACATGTTGAAACAGTCTGATGTTAACTTGGCGTACTATAGTAAGAACAAGTTAAATAAATTTATAAAGGGATATAAAGATCCTCTACCTAAATATTCTCAATCTAATGTAGTTTACAAAATTAATTATAAAAACTGCACATCTTCATATGTAGGTCAAACCAGTCGTAAACTAGAAACTCGTATTAAGGAATATAAGTCAAACATAAAATGTAAAAATTAAAATTCAGTAATTACCAACCATAGGTTGGATTATAATCATGATTTTGATTGGGAAGACGTAAAAATTCTGGATAGAGAGGGTTATTACAAAAAAAGATTGACATCTGAAATGATATTCATTAAAAGACAATCTAACAGTATTAATTTGCAGACAGATACAGAAAGCTTAAACTCGACATATATAAACATCATAAAAAATTTACCGAAAATATAGAAAGTCAAACTTCATGTTTTCGATTACCTATATATTGACGTGATAACCGGTGGAGATCATCAGTCGTTCAAAATTCTTTAACGAATACACATATAGACTCATAAGAAGCTTTTTTAAATTAAGTGGATATAACAAAAATCGTAAGTTCAGATATAGACATATGGAGTTGACATCTTTGAAAAGTGTTGTTAGTTAATATTAACTGTTTGTAACAATAGGACAACGACTGATCAAATTGACTGATTGCATGTCATCAATCCTGGCTTATCAACCAATGAATTGTCTGCGTGAGAAGTATTTATAATGAAAAATCATCTGTTGTATACTTATATAAAAAACTTTTTAAAGGTTTGACATTATTGTAAAGATATAGGTATTATTTTTAAATGTATACGTTTAACGTTAGGATTTCTTTGTTTTTACCGAAAAATATCAATGCGATGAATTTATATTTTGGTGGCGAGCGGTGAACATAACGATGAATTTATACTTATTAATTTAATATAAGATTTTAGTTTATTAATTTAAGATTATTTTGCTGTCGCTGAAGAAGGTCATAAAATTGACCGAAACGTTTGGTTAAAAGGTCGTTGGTTTAATGTATGAAATTTTATATAATGAAATATTAATGTAAAACAGTAACAATGTTTAATGCTCTTAATAGCCTAATGTAATATCACTTTATTTAATGTATAAGAGCTTAATAGTGTTTATTCTATTGAATATTTTCTTATATACTTATATTAACTTTTTAGCGAGGTAATAAAAATTCAAAAATGCGTATTTGTTCAGAAATTTTATTTCTTACGTATACTATCCGACTACTATGCATGCGTTGGAGCATTCAGATACAGAGAATTCGCTGCAGATCCGGAGCTCATCGTTAAAACATATTCACAATAACAGCGGTGTCATTTCCATTATGATTCTTGATTTGTTTTTTTTTCTAGAGAAGATGTGGTTAGTTTATTTTTTATAGTCTTTTAAATTATAATATATTGTGTGTTACGTGTATAATTTGATCTAAGCCAGACGAAATTTCGCTTGCTCATTATCAGTCTTGAATCCTCACGAAAATCTTAATTCGCAAGAAAGCCAAGATTCTCTCCTACAAAAATTTATATTCATATATTTAAAGTCTAGTCATAAGCACATAAAATAGTATTATTAAGTTATGTCTTAATGAACTGTTATATTAGGAATTAGATGAGTCTTTTTGCAATCTATTAATCTGTTTCAGTATAATTTTTGTACACTGCATTTTAAATATAAATGGATAATAAATTTTACGTCGACTTAAAGAATTACAAGTATTTCAAAGTACAAAGTATTCTAAAATCAGCTTAGATAATTTTTTTAATAACAGATTCTTTATTTAACTGGGAGACAACTTTTTTTGAGTAAAAATATTGACGCATCAATAATTTTTGATTTATAATGATTGAAAAAGAATGGCTCTTCGCCAGCTAAACTTTGTGGAGTTGAAAGGTTAACATCCTTTTCAATTTTAGTTTTTATTTTTTCTTAAAAAAAGTATTGTCTCAGATTGGTCAGAGAATCTGTTATTAGAAGAAAATCCGATAATTTTGAGACATCCTAGATAATATTCTTATATATTTTTAAAAATATTACTTGAATATTGACAATTGAAAGAAAAATATAGTTTTGAACTATAAATTATTGACATAATGCACACATAAAATATTTATTTTATCGTATTAGTTTTATATAAAATATTTTTAAGATTTATAAGATTCGAACTCCGCCGGCGGAGAATTAAGTCAGTAATACAACGTAATTATTAAAAAAATTTTAAATCGATTGATTTATACTTCGCGAAAATTTAAGTAGCAAAGCAATAAAGCAGATATTCTTTTTATATTTCAATATTTTCATTTGATCTCGCAAAATTTCAAAATTTGCAAACTCGCGAAAAGATTTTCGTTTAACTCAACATATCTCGCCATCACATTTAATTGTCATCCTTTATATTATACGCGCATATGTGTGTATATGTGTAATGTGCATCTATATGTGTCTGTGCGTGTTTGTGTGAATGTATATTTTTTTATTTATATACTTATATACAGCAGGCGAACATCCCGAAACAACGGTGCAACGACGATGAGTTTATTTGCAGCAAGAACAAAAAGCATAAGAATTAGACGAGTGATAATTCACGAGCTTTCAATTCATATAATATAATTGTCGATAAGACATATTGCAAAATTCGTTTATAATAACAACCGCCCGATGAGACACCGGTGTCATCGCAACCACCTCGCGTAAGAGAGACGTATCCGTTACTAAAGTATACCTTATCGAACTAGAACTTATATCGATATATTGCACATTTGACAACAGTTATGTTTTTCTTTAAGTACTTGGATATAGGAAGTCTTCGCTAATAAATCTTTGACTTGCATCTCTTCCCCTCTCCCCCTCCCTCTCTCCTTCTTTCTTTCTATTTTTTCTTTGCTTGTGATACACATCTACACATATATTTCTGTTTCTCTCAAATACATACATGAATTTAATGGTCGATTCAACTTTCGATGCTTGCATGTTGTCATAAATTTGTAAGTTTTATAGGGGCGCTTGTTATGTATACATATGTATAATATGAAATCTTCGGACTTATTTTCTTCGATGTGTGTTCATATAATCTGTTATTTTGCTAAATATTCCATACAACTTTTTTTCTTTATTTCCTTCTTTTTATCTCCGTCATTCTTTGCGTTGCTCAACATTCGTTGCAGATTGGCGCTCTGAAGTCTTCAATTTTTTACATGTTTTATTCTATCTCTTTTTTGCATATTTATGCACACACACATACATACACACACATACACACACATACACACATATATACATACATACATACATACATGCATATATATGCACATACACACATACAGGCAACATGCACGCATACATGTACTGTCGCATTATGAAAAGCGATATATTCTATTTAAGTAGTTTTGTTCGCTTTTAATCTGCCGATTTTTATCTAACCGGAATAATCAAGCCTCGTCCATTGCCAACGATTTTCTTTTTTTTTTGGAAAAATTTTTCTCTGAAGATTTGTCGACGACGGAATTTTCATCAGATCTTTCATTGTTATACTAATCGTCGATAGGCTATTATTTCGTTGATGAAGATTAAACTTAACAATTAGCTTCATTGTTCACATTCTCTTTTTATATCGGCATTTTTGTTTCTCTCGAAACATATTATGAGAGGATATCGTTAATGTCTTTTATATCATTGTCAAGTGTCGTTGCGGTGGATTTATACGTATCGATTTATAGGCCTGGTTAATTGCTTGCGCGAGGCATGTAAACGGATAACGCAAAAACAGGCGCTCGATCGGTTGGTTCGTCAAGCTTCGTTGTGCTTGCACTTATGAAAAAATACACTCAACTTTAATGGTTAACGCTCAAATTTGGGTCATCATTAAGGATTAATTTTCAGCTTATACATATTATTGAAGATTAAGCCCACAACTTACATCAAATCTTAATAGTCAACGCTCAATGTACATCCAAATTTAAGTGTTAACATTTAACTTTTATGACAGACACTCAAACTTAAGTATTAACATCCAAATTTAAATGTTGCCATGTTATTGAACGTTGATTATTAAGATTTAATGTAAGTTGTGGGTTTAATTCTTAATGCTGGGTGAAGTATTAACTCTTAATGATGAATAGGTTGGATGTTGATAAATTGAAAACATTTAAATATATTTATTCACATTTGGATGTTACTTTTATTTGAGGGTTTTTATTTTCAGGGTTACTGTCATTTTGAAGGTTACCATCAATTATCATCATCAATTGAAGGTTAATCTTCAACTGGCCCGAAATCACATCCAACTTTGAGAGTTTTTAGTGTTTTTTTACGATTAACACTCAAAGTTGAATGTATTTTTCCTTAAGAGTGTACATACATGTATCTCTTCAATCTTCACAAAAGATTTAATCTGCATAATCTCAATTCTCGCAAAAAAATTTGCGAAACTGTGCCCGAAAATGGCGCGAGGAACGTAGGTATGTATCAGAATCATATTACTCGGAATAATCCGAGATCATCATCGCCGCAGTCTAACTGTAAATGTTAACTTCAAAAGTGACCTCGGAAAAAGACTTTATACCTCGATATATTCTCATCGAAGGTATCCAATAAAAAAATATCACTGATTTGAAATCGATACTGCTGATTCATCTACGACAGTCTGCCGAGTAGGACGATGTGCTTCCGTATATTAGCAACAAAAATATTAGACACGGAACTATCAAGAGAAGAGCAGCTCGTATAATTGCGATTAAACCGAAGTGTGCAATGTGCTGGATTGTGGTGCTGACGGATACGATCCGCCAGGCGGCGTTGATGTTGGTTGCAGGCTCAACTGTAGCTGATGTTGCTGCGCTTTCGCTCTTAAACAGGCAATACTCTCATTTCTGAGTTGCTCTGTATCCTGTACAACACCTGTAAACACAGTAATGTGTATTCATTTGAAAAGTTTTATTTATTGTTTTTATTAAAACTTTATTTGTATTCTTTATTATTGTATCAAAATTGTATTTTATTTTTTTATCGTAATTTCTAAAAAATTACAAATAATAAAAAAAAATTAAAGCAATTTATATATTTTATTAGTAATACAATTGTTTAAAGCAGATTTATTTAGATAAAAGTGCTTCGGGAAATCTTTATTAATATCTTTGTACAATATTTTATATTTTAACAAATATTTAATATTTTAAAGTTTGATTTTGTTTTGAAAATTTTCATTAAATATTTATATAAAAGTTATACATTGCAATATATAAAAAAATTGTTTTTTTTAAATGTATTTTAATATAAAATTTAAATAAAATTTAATATTATAAATTAATATACAATTTTTTAATCTACCTATGTCTAATAGATATTCGACATATTTTTGAGTAAAACTTACTCGTAGATGACGAAGGTCCCATACCATCCTGACTTTCCTGTCCGCTTTCCGAACTGGTTGGTCCTCCTTGATGATGATTATGATTGGGGCTGCTTCCGCTTCCGTTTTGATCGTTACCGCTGTCCTCTCCACCAGATTTGAGATGCTCTGCTGCCTCGAGCGACTTTCGATGCATCCCTACAGGTCCACAGTCAATCAGTTCTTGATTACATTCGAAATCTTGGTTAAAGCTGCTTGTCTTAGACGATTGAGCTGGTAAAAACCAACAGAAAAAGTATTCGAATTTGTTGGGCCGTTTTAATTTTTTTAAGTGTTTCTATCAAGGCGGAAAGATTTTTCCGGTTTTCAATGATCCGACTTTCAATAATCCTTTTTATTATGTTTCAGTCATTTTATGTATTGTAAAATAGAATAAAAAATTGCAAAATTAAAGAGATAAAAAATGTTTAGAATTATCTAAATGCTTACCAAAATAATTAATAAATATAATAAAAATTTTCTATAAATATTACATTATACTTATATTTTTATAACGACATATATATTTTCCTATACATAATACATAATATATTCTTTTTTATAAAAAAAAATTACAGTTATCAATGTTAATGCAATTTTATCCAATCTTATATATTAAGAGATTTGTAGATATAATTATAATTAAATCTAAGGCCCAAATTAAAAAAATGATTCAAGGATATTTTATATACTTAAAATTTCAAAATTACTTTAATTAATTTAGAAGCTTTGTCACAAAGGAATTTATTCTTTCTTACCTAATAGCCATGGTGCGACGGATTCATTTTCCTTGGCACTTCTTAAAATCGTTTCCGGAAGTGGTAAGGAATGTCGAACCATCGCTCCGTATAAACCATATTCTGCCATTATAGTACTTCTGCCCCAACATTTCTCTGTTTTGCGCCATTTTGCTCTTCGGTTTTGAAACCATACCTGCAACAAAATAAACGGCAACTTAAAAAAAAAAACAATTTCTATATCATGTATGAAATAATGTAAGAGTTTATTAATTAGAATTAATTCTTCTAATTAAGTTAACTGAAGTTTAAAATACTTTTTTACCTACTCTATTAAGTTTCTTATCAATTTCAATTAAAAATTTATAAAATTAAGATCAGGCAAACATAAAAGTAAGATGTATATATAAGCATCAATTAATTATGAATTGTAAATATCAATTATTAAATTAAAAATTTGTTTCCAAACTTTAAATGTGTTTTTCTCGAAATATTTTTCAGTAGTTATATTATTCGAAATTTTTGTAAACTCGAAAACAAATTCAGATATTGATTTAAAATTTTAACAATTAGAGTAGTGAATATTGATTTTTAGTAATCATATTTAAAAATGTTTGTGAATTAATTTATATTTTATAAGAATAACAAAGTTAATCTTTTTATTTTTGGTATAATTACTATTTTTATTTTTTTATTTTATTAGCAGAATTTAAATAAAGAACTGCTACAAATCAATATAAAAATGTTAATTAAATATTAATTTAATGTGTAACGTGACAAAACTGAAAAAATGTCAAATTTTTACTGCGCGCACGATTGGTATTATGTAATATTTATAATATATTTTAAAATAGAATATTTATTTTGTACTTGCATAAATATATACAGTATAAGAAGAGACAATTTTAAACATTTATTCATAATCTATAACATTATAAATAAAAATAAATATAACTTATTTATTGATTATTTAAATTTTAATTTTTTTTGTTTCCTTAAGAGTAAGATTGATGTAATTTTTTATAGTTTTTTGTCAATATACAATTAATTCGTATTATAAACTTTACGGTTGTTAACAAAGCATTTATTTCGTCGAAATGCCTAATTTGCCTCGACATTGTATTAGCGTTAAAGAAATATTTGTACATTAGTTTTCTTGCTTACATTATTCTTTAATTGGACCACTATGATCACGCGTGCTAGACGATCAGTTACTTTATCCAATTTGCACTTGCATGACACGTGCTATAATGCTGTTGTATAGTTAATTATCATGCCCAAATGGCCTTCTCGGAAGGCTATTATCCTCTATTTTTCATGGCTGTTAGATTACTTGTTAGTAATACTGATGATTCGCCTCCCATGGCGAAAACGCGTGTCGCTTTCTCTTCATGCACGCTCACGCATATAACGAACTACGTTTCCAAGAAATAACAAGCATCATTTTATTCGGCACATTTTTTATACATAACTATTTGATAGATTCACACTAATCTGTTAATAATATAAGAGCAATTTTATGAAATATGCGCTACTAATACTTTTTATTAACTATGCAATAAAATTGTCAACCAAATTAATCTTATGTTATCAGTGAAACAATATGCATTTCAGTGCAAAAACATTAAGCAATACATAGATAGAGTAAGATGCATATAAGTAAATTAAAAATTTAATGTAATTTAAATATGAAATGATAAAATAGTAAATATTTCAAAAGCATTACTTAATTTATTTTTATTTTTAAAGCAAAATTATTATGACAAAATTATTACAACAAAAAGTTATATAATTTATCATGTGACTTTTCAATTTATATTCTCTTAAATATATTTTCAGCCAAATTTTATTATCCATATACATACATACATATATATATATATATATATATATATATAAAATTTATTTTATTATTCCTACAAAAATTTAATTTTTAACGATACATTTTATTTTTAGTATTCGTATTTGTATATTTATATAACTCCAATGCTATAAACCAACAGCATTTCTATAAAGAAAAAAAATTAATTCGAATTCAACGAAATAATCCATAAGTTTAAAACGCTTAGTAGGGCGCTCTGTATATATGTATATATAATTCCAGGCTGTTATTTAAAAAGCTGGACACGCATCGATTTGTCCAGCGAGCATATACATATATACAACCGGACAGAAGAGGGAGGCTAGGGCGTGGACCAATTTGTAGCAACAATGCCAAAGTCACCAGCAGAATTGGTGCGTAATTTAAATGAATGGAAACGCGTCGCCTTGTCAATTTGCGCTGCCACCCCAAAATTATCTTCCGCTTAGATTTCAATGTACGCGCGGTTTTTCACGATTTACAACACACGTTCATGTTCAGAAACATTGGTAAGACAGCAACACGCTTTTATTAAGAAATTAAATTTATCAATATGTATGTGTGCTCTTATAAACTGCTTTTAAAATAAAAAGTATATGCCATTTTTATATTATTGCAATACACACATTTTTCTTTTAAAAGATCAAAATTCTATTACTATTCTGTATCACTATAAATATAAACGTTTAGCAATTTATGTAATTTTAATATTTTTACAATAAAAACAAGAAAATCAGTTGTGATACGTTAGTTACATCGAATGTATAAATAAATAAATTATATAGATTTTCTCATTTCTTTCTTCACCGAAACATGATAACATTGGCACTGTTAAGAAGGAAGAGGGTGTTTAATAAGTGTCTAGGTGACACCTAATACGTCTTGACGTCGTTGTTTGAACGTAAGCCGAGAAAGCTGCGAGACATTGGCTAAGACATCAGATAAAAAAAGGAAGAGGAAGAAGGGAAAGAGAGACCCGGAGATAGAGGATCAGGATTTGATATCTCATTATCGGTCGATCACAAATTGAAGTTACCGGTGGGAAGTAACGAGATCTCCAATTATCCTTAGGACAGTATCCCCCTACCTTATCATAATATATATATATATATATATATATATATATATATATATATATATATGTGTATTTTTCGCGAATGTCTCGAGAAGAAAGGCAACAAATAGTATTTCTTAATCTTCATCTTTTCTGCCATCGTAATATTCCGTGCAATGTGATTAGTAAACTTCCGATTCCTTTAAGATCTTAATAAAATCTAATAATCGAGGTTGTTTGAAAGATTTTGATACTAACAGATATAATTGTTTAGCGATAACTTATACTTTAATTATCTATCGTTGACTTATAATTTAAGACACACTAGTTGTAAATTCTTTCGGAGTTTTGCGAATTGAAAAATATATAAATATAATTATATTTTAATAATTCTTCCTCCCTGTATCTCTCTAAAAGAAACATAGATTAGAACATCATTGAGATGTAATAGCTAAATTGAGGAATTAAACCCAAATCCTATTGTAAATATATGTAAACATAATATTGTATTCTTTTATTTTTAGATTTTTTAGTAGTATATTTTATTAATTAATACAGAACATCTTCAGATTTTTGTAAATTACATTTATATTGAATGTGTGAAGTTTAGAAGAAAAATAAGCTAATGCAACACAAATACATAACAAATATCAAAATATACATAATTAAACTTCGTGGCGTATTAAAATATTCAGAATCCTTAGGATTTTGGCTCAAAAGACTACAAGTCACGTATCAAGCGATTTTTCACGATCTTATCTTTTTCATCTTTTGCTTTCTCTTTGTGATAAAAAATCAGGAAGCTTATGGTAAAATAAATCTTCAAGAGTTGTCATACTGATAACATCTGACTATGAATTTTCAACCTTAGTTTCAATAGTTGTTGGTCTAACTCGAGTGTCAAAAAGCGAACAAGTGAAAGCTTCGTTTTCTTTCAATTTTTTTCCTATGCCTTCATTTCTTTTATATCTCCTCATAGAAAAAACAATATCCTTGAAAGAATATGCCTCAATTCAAGTATATTTTATCTTATATAATAGCGTCAAATATAAATAATCTTGGATAAAGGATAATTTATCCTTGAAACAAAAGTGCAAAATATTCTTAGTTGAAGCTGAAATTTATTTCAATTTAAAAATAAAATTGCGTTCAAATGTATCAAAGTTTAGTTTAAATGTGACTAAGTTTGTTTTTACCATATAACGATTTTAAAACAAGAATATATCTTAAGGATAAAATATACTTCACACAAACTTATTCATTATTAAAGCAAATGAAGATTTGTGATTACAAAGAGCATTTCATTAAAATGAATCAAATAGCGTTTAAGAATAAAAATATACTTAAGGGATCAAGGATTTCTTTTTTTCTGTGCTCAAAAAGAAAAAATATATAGAAATATATACAATATTTGTATTGTATATATTGTATAATTGTATACTTGTATATTAAAATATTAGTTATTGTATTTAGTTATAGACTCGTCTATTGCTTCTCCTGGCTCCTTAAATCCTTTCTGTTTGCAAGTCTAATTTCAGCTAGAAATCGTTCGGCGACGAGTTCCACGACATGTTCCGCCCTTTCTATTTTTCTAGTCGTCTCTGTTGTACCTTCTGGCAGGCGGTACGTCCTCTCTTTATTCCTATTTCCATTCTCATCCTCTTGTTTTGGTCCAATAGTCAGTCGCCGCTCTGATCGATGATACGCCAACAGGCAGTACTGCGCATGGCCGACTAAATACAAACGCTCCTTATTATACCGGGTGTGCCAATAAAAGAGGTATAAAAAAAGAAGAGATAGAAGAGGAAGGGGAAGAAAGCAAGAGATAAAAACGGGTGACTGTCAAGGGAAGGGGGATGTTCGGTCAGAGTTTCTCGTTTCTTTAAGCCAAGGCGATCATAAAGGATCCTCTTCCATCGTCTTGCAGCCTTCTGTTGCACTCCTTCCTTATATTTCTGCCTGCCTTCTACCCTAACTCAGCAGCGTCTCGTGATATACCAGGAGATGCCAAAGGATAATCCAGATACCCCGATTTCCAATCCCGATGCTACGACACTTCCATATAGCATCATCGATTCTCCTTTACGGACCTCTTCGTCTCGGTGATGCTTTTCAATGCGCGGACCTTTCTTCCAGGTTCTAGACATGTTTTCGTGCATTTATCGCTACGTTTCGCGCATTGTAGATATCTTCTTCAATGTATTGGATGTCTACGGATGTTCATTTACATAATTTGCAGTGAGACGATTTTTAATGTTTACGAATTTATAATTCAGATCAT